AAAAAAAAAAAAAGGACCCAGAGACTGCACTGCAAACGTACAAAGGGATACTTACAAGAACCAAATCACTAAGAATCTCCACAAACTCACATCAAGGTGATTCGCTATTGTTAGAGTAGACTGAGTCTGTCGTTGTAACTGTTAACACTGGATGAACCTTGATGTCAAGTCATTCGTTCTTTTATGTTCTGCCGCTCAATATGTATCTGGGTCATGGAGGTGGAGAGGGTCCTTAAGGGCCATCACAGAAGCAGTGAATTCAGAGATTTAGATATATGTTACACTATGGAGAAATACAAAATCTCACAGATCCAGACTCCCGGCTGCAGACACAACAGTTCAGTCCATTGGTTTCAGATAAACTGTAAGATGATGAGACACAACGTTATCAGTACGGTTAGATCAAGGATTTCTAAAATGTTATGCGGGTGGGCCAGCTGCCACTAGGGGGTGTGCAAGATGAAAAAAGGGAGTCCACCAAGTTATCACTGAGGTGCTCTGAGCATGGCACCGTGCTCACACACTGCTCCCCGGGCTGCTCAAAAAGCCCATTGTCCACTTTGGTGATGGGTTAAATGTAGAGGTCAAATTTTGTTGTATGCAGTGGTGTGTGTCACAATGACAAGGAGTTCACTTTCCTTTCCTTAATCCTTTATTCCACACAAAAAAAACATGTATTATATGGCATTTTAATAAATATATAAATGCAGGTTATATAGGTGTGTTAAATGTGTGTGCTGTTCATTTGCGCGTGATTTAAAAAAATGTATTTGCTTTCAAAGCTATTTGCTAAGAGTTCTGGTTCAGATTGCACGCAGTCCCAGTCTGAGGTTTTGTCCGACCATCACTGTGGCAACCCCTGATTAAGAGATGGGGGGGGTGAGTGCAGTGTCGAGTGTGTTTTTAGAGTGTGTGCTCCATGTACCATTATCCCTCAGTGTCGAGTGTGTTTTTAGAGTGTGTACCATTATCCTCCATTTTACACTCACCTGCTTGAACTCACACCACGCTTCCACGCTTTCAACAGACATGACCAAGATCACCATCGCCGGCCTGAAACCAGAGACAGCTTACGAGGTCAAGATTTCCGCAATCAACGGCAAAGGCGAGGGCGAGAGCAGCGCCGCCAGCACTTTCAAAACCAAGCCAGTCCGTAAGTACTGCCCTCGCAGCTTCTGTTTCCTGTTCTCAGTAAGTGACCTTCTGACCCCACCCCAACAACATCCAACAACAGTCTAACCCTCACTTCACCTGCTGCTCATGTCCAGCTGAGCTGAGATACTTTTACTGCTTACCTCCTGTGTTCTCACCGCGCTGGTCGCTCCCGTCCAGGCCTTAGAGGAGCTGATGATAAATTATGCCGCCTTTTATCATCGTCTTGGTTCATCCTGTTAACTTTGCAAAGTATAACCTCTGTGTCCATTGACGCTAAACGCAATAAAGTGCTTCTTCTCCCTCGCAGCACCACTGCAGTGTTTAAGTTAAACCTCATCTTAACCTCCCATTTTACAGAGCCCTGATTTTTCAGCCCATTTTTTAGGGGTTTTAGGGGAAAGGTTGCGCTTCAACGTGAGGTAATTTCAGCTCAACGTTGGTGTAAATTGTTAACATTAACGTCAGAGGTCGACGGAATGACAGCATGTGATTAATGGATATTTTAGAGAAAGAGAAGGTGGAGGAGGAGGAAATCTTCTAGCGTAGAAACAGGACAGAAAAAAGTCAATCTGAACCAGTGAGGGCGATTAAGTATACAATTCTTTTTTTCCCTTCTAGAAATTTCATTTTCTTCTAAAAACAACTGGGACCACCTTAAAAAATTCTGCTGCAGTCTCTGATCCAATCTCTATACAATTGTGTTTGCTCATTTGCATCCATATGTGAAATTAAATGTTAAGCATATAAACAGTAAATATTTAGAAGCAGCTGTATTGCAGTATACATTATTCTGCTACTGCAACATCACAGGCTAAAGCCCATATTCGTGAGGAACTTGGAAAAAAAACAAAACAAATATACAGTGTTTTTCCCGTCACCTTGTACCTTTAGGCTAACTCCTGAGATCTCTGATGGCGAATAAATCAAACTATAAATAATTAAACACATTTTCTGAACCACTTTCTTGACACCGACACCAGTTACATTTAATCAGTCCAGGACTATAATGGATGTGTACAGCGGACAGTCTGTGATTATCCCCTTGTTTGTGTTGCCTTTTTGTTTTTTGTTTTCAGCACTGACCCTTTGTTTCCAATTAAGTTGGTAAATGAATTGCTGATAAAAAATAATGAGAAAACAAAAGAAAAGTATTAAAGCAGTTTTATCTCCCAACCATTCATCTCACCGGTGTGCTCGCAATTAGAGGCTAATAAAACTATTGTTAAGTCAGCTTTGGAAATTAGTTTTTCTTTATTAGTTTTTTGCTGCTTCAGTGTTAAGATAACTCTAGCAGAGGTAGAACAACGCACAACAAGGTCAAAACGACATCTCGTAGAAAAACCTTTGAATTGCAGAAGTGGGAAGGACAGCAGATGTTTTAAGAAAAGAGAAGTAAAATGAAGCCGCTCCAAATCACAGTCTATGAAAATAAACGAATTTAATTCTATAATGAAAATTCTGATTGATCCAAAATCTCTGTTTGCTTTTGGCCATGGAGTTTCTTAGAAATATGAAAAATAGATCCTGTATAATTACAGTTCAGTGGAACAATGGGTTCATAAATATCTTTCTGCTGTGTTTCATCACAAAATATTATTTTTTCTATTAAAGTGTAAATAGAAATGAATAGGAGATAATCACCTGAATAACAAAAAATATGTACCGATCTGAAGACGTTAAGTAATACCTGAGCTTCTCACAGAAGAGAAAAATAAACAAATCATTGTTGTGCTTTGTTTGACCACTCATAGTTGTATTTCAGAAATGCAATCGCTTCCTAGCATTGTTCTGTAGTCTAAAGTATGCTGCTGTTCGCTTCCTAGCATTGTTCTGTAGTCTAACGTATGCTGCTGTTGTTGCTCGATCGTCAACCCTCATCTCCTGTAGAAAATCCTCTTTCTCATTCCCAGCCTGTAGATGTAGATACCATCATTTAGGCATTTGTTGCACATGTACATTAGCATAGAACTCTGAGTGTCATATCTAACGTATGGATATGATGTGAATTTGGATGTGTCATATCTAACGTATGGATATGATGTAAATTTGGATGAATGGATGGAGCGATGGATGGATGGATGGATGGATAGACAGATAGATAGATAAAGGATAGTTGTATTGACGAGTTCAGTCAATGCTTTGGGTTATGTTAGTGAAGATGAAGATTGACAGACAGAAACCGAGTGTATTTTTATATTAAAACACCACCAAATCCGGCAAGAAGAAAGTTTATTCCAAGCGTGAACTTTTGTGAGAGACCAATTTCTCATTTGGATGGTAATACTGTTCCAGGATTATCGAAGAAAGAGTTGGCTGCAGAGCTAACAGTAGCATGACACTCTGCAAGTCAAATAACAGATGCCGGCAGTGTAGCGGTGAATAAATGATGTGTCAGAGTTGCCTCTTTTTTCATTGTTCATATCCCGCCCCCCCCATTTCATTGTCTTCCTTTTTTTTTCTTCTTCTCTGTTTCATTGTTTCCATCATGATTTCCCATCTGTTCTCTATTCCACCGGACCTTCTCAGAGTATTTTTCCACAAGTAAGTTTCTTTTCTCCCTGTTTCATCTGCTTCATTTCTACCTGTGTTGAATTTTCATCACTATGTTTGACCATTCTCTTCACGTTGAAACGTGATTTGATGGAAGAAACATGCCATAATAATGTAAACTGGGCCCTGGTGACGTCATGTCTTCCCAGGAACCATCCACAGAAAGCCTTCACCCCGTAGCACAAAGACATGGATTTTCATTCTCTTATATAAATACCAGAACTCATTCATGGTCTGTTTGACTAATTTTCCCGGCGCCTGTTCATTTCTTTTCTTTAACGAGATTTCAAGTTAGTGTGAGAATGTGATGGATTGGTCTGACAGACGGCAGCAGGCCAGATATTCTCTACTGCCGCCCTTGATGCCTCTTTCCAAAAATCTGACTTTGAAACTATCAGGAAGACCAGTACTGGCCACATTAAACAAATGAAAAAAAAAAAATCAATGTTTTATCACACCTTACACCTCTGCCTTACACGAAAAAGGTCATAGGTTTCAGCCCAAGAGGAACCACATACTTGGCGCCTCCAACAGGCAGCCTGTTGCAGGAGATTTGCTTTTAACACAGCAATTTCTCAAATGTGGGATAAATTAACTTTTTTGTATTTTTTAGTTAGTTAAAACTAAAATTACTTTAAGGCACCAAATAGTCTTAGATTACACAAAAATGTGTACACCAACGTAAAAAAAAGCCTGTAGAATATTTCCAAACTGACAGACGTGGCGTATAAACACAGCCAAAGCACAGACCACTAGGTGGCGCTGCACTGCTAAATCCTTTACCTTTAGAGCGCCAAGATGTTAAAACACATCTTGTCACTTTCTCCACAACAAATTAATTCAAAAATTGTTCCAAATGCTGAGCTAAAATTAAGCGTCCATATATGCAGTTGTTTTAGTGAGAAAAAATTCCCTAGAAAAAGTATTTCACATCAACACATCTGATGTCACCAAAATATATTTTTTAACTATGAAGACTATTATTGAAACCATTACCAAGAACCAGCTAGAGAGTCGTTGAGTGTTAGGCCACTGAAAGTTTCCGCTCCTCTGTCTAATGAGGAACATATCTGTAGTTGAAGCTGCTCTCTCTGAGTGATGTTTATTTTGAGCGTCATACATTTGTCCAGTTTTCGAGCGCTCTGAGTGGTCTTGCCTCAAATGTTTGGTTGGTGATAGAGTGTGGGCGTTACAGCTCGTTGCCTGGCTTTTATAGAAATCTATCGCTTTAAAGTAAGAGCTTTTGCTGTGAAGAATTCTGAACAAAGGAAAAAGAAGTGACTGTTCACTCACCAGCAAATAAACAGCAGCAGAGTATGAGCTCGTCCACAGGCGGCTCACTCAAGCCTTGAAAAGTCACAAAGCAATTCACTAAAAGCTCCAGCACACAGCTGTGGCTCAATTTTGGTCCAACTCTGTACTCCCACTTGCTGTTTTGATGTATGGTGATTGCACTATAAGTACTACATGGGCACATTCAATTTACAGAGCAGTCCAACTACAAGCTTTGGTCAAGGACAGTAGTAGCAGTGTACTGTTTTTGTTTGTTTTTTTTTGTGATATGTGTGCACCAAGTGCTAAAGGAAAAAAAGACAGATACACAAATATAAATACACAAAACAACAACGTAGGCAAATCTGTCTAAAATAAAGTGTATAATCAATATAATGATTTTTTTTTTTTTTTAATATTTTAAAATAAGTCAAAGTAAGAGCAGCTTTGGTTAAATCTCCTGTACACTTAGACAATGTTCCTTAAAAGAACAAAGCAAAAATCTGTTCTTCTTTAGTTAAAATACTATAAATGTGCCTTGGATTTTTCCTCTGGATTCTGTCAACCATATGTCATAAACAGGGCTGTGGTAGTTGTCTTGAAATGATAAGTACTCATTGACATTATAAAGGATCTGGTAGTCCAGACTACCCAACAGAACCAGCAGTGAGTTTCCCATGCTGAGGTCTCACCATCTTTTCACCATCTTTCAGTTGCATCAGAGATTGAGCCCACTACTGCTGCCACCCCCCTGGCTCGTAGTGAGTATACCAGACCAGCCGGGTCCAGTGTTTCTATCTTTTGACCTCTGTCTCCTTAGCTGCTTGTAGATGTTCATTTACTGCTGGTGTGATCACAGGGGGGCTAATACCTGTCGTTAAACCGTAGTTAGTTTTAGCAACAACAACAACAAAAAAAGCCTTGATAGCTTTACGACTTCTTTAACCGCTCATCTGTAGATGATGATTTTACTAACACCGACGTGAAGACGTAACGGTTTGTCCTTGTATCTGTCTGATTTCAGAACCTTGTAATGTTGAAGATAAGTTGGTAAACGCTGCTGTTTGTGGTGCTCCTGGTGTTGGTAGATACTGTAGTACACAGTATCATAACTGACCTGAAGGGTGCTGTGGGGCTATATTTGTAGAGATGGGGCAATAATTATTACAAAAACCA